CCTAGTGTTTGGGGCTTTTTCCTTAAAAACAGACATGCGGTTTAGCATAGGGAAGTCTATATTCAGCCAGATGAAAACATTGAATTCCACCACTGCAGGATGTAGTTAACAACAGCAGGCAGATTTTGATGAAAAACAGAACGGAGGATGTTTTGGAAAAGTGTTCTGGGCACTTTTCCTAGAGACGAGTGCCCAGGAAGGAATTGAGATTGGGTCCTCAGTACTCGTCTGCCCCCTATGGGCTGCATTTTCAATTACTCTCACCAAATCTATAGGGCTCAGGATGATGGGTTTTAAGTCGCCAAGTCCCTTTCTTCTTCAGCGTAACTAGAGAGAGCCCTGGAAAGGCTTCTTCAGGACACCCTTCCTTTGCTGAGTCCCTCATGCCCCAGTGGTGGCTGAAGCTGGGTTCAGAATGTGTGACCTGATGACTCAACAGCTGACTCGAATTGCAGGAAGAGTTTTAGACTGTAAAAGGGGAAGTTTCAGCTTTCCTCTCTCCCTTCTGGAAGCAATGTATGTTTCTAGCACAACTATTGACACACAGGCTAGCAGTTTCCATTTGGGTCACGCTATAATCAATGATGAGCAAGTGGGGGATGTCCAGTGTTGAATTTCACTAGGTTGTGAAATAGCCTCAATGTACCAGCTCTGCCCACAGATGTCCGTATTTGGATGTCTGGTGTCGACCAGAAGCAAAGACACTTAGGAAATGCTGACATCTCCTGCCTGGCGACTAGTGTCTTTGGGTCCCGTTGCCACAAACCCAGCACAGTGCAGGTGGGCACTTTACGTGAAATGCACCTGTGCTTTGAAGCTCCCTTTAAATGGATCATAAGATGAAGGCTGGTGGTACTAAAACATGTTTAAAGCAAAATAGGAAGAAAGCTGAAGGGGAAAGCCTATCTAGAATCAGGGCAGAAGTTGTCTTTAAAGTACACGTTTTTATATTGATAGAGATCTTAGCCAAGAATTCACACTTACTATATACTGACTGTGAGCAGGGCACTGTGCTAAATGCTTTACATGTATTATTTTATTCACTTCCTCCCAACAATTCTTTGCAGTAAGCATTCTCAGAATCTCTGTTCCACTGGCAGTGGGGGCGGGGTGGGGGGAAGGCTCTGGGAAGATGTGGAACATTGTGTCCCGTCAGTTGTAGAGCCAGCAGCCAGTCTGGGCAGCCCGACTCCAGGTCTGTGCTCCTACCCTCACCCGCCACAGCGGCACGTTTAGGGCACGACTGCTGACTGACAGGAGCAAAGGCAGGAAGGGGCACGGAACTCCTGTGCTCCGGAGCATCACGCAGGAGTGCGCACATCACCTACGCCTTTCCTCCTCGCTCCCCCAGTGTGCCGCTGGGTTTCGGACAGTGCAGGGTAAGTGTGCACCAGTAATTAAATGGTAACTTAATTACTGATTTGGTAACGCTTCACACTGTCACCCATTATCTCAAGGCATTTGGGGAAAGTCTACAAATAAGTTTATCAACCACATGTTTACCTGTCTATCTATATATCCCATGAAATCTTTTAAAAGAGGGCACCAAATGGTATCATAAATCCAAATATATATAAAATGTTAAATCTCTAAAGAGATTGTGTATTTCGAATTTTTTCTTCCCTTCAATAAAGTCTTCAGGCAGAGGTGGATCACTTGGAGTTCTGAGGCTTTAGATGTTGCACCCCAGGACCTGGTGCTGGTAGAAGCAGTCCTTGGTGTGCAGCCTGGTTCTTTCTGCATAAACCCAGGCCCAGTCACAGGCAGGGTTTCACTTAGACCTGCAGCAGAGTCTTGCAGATCTACCTAATACATAGAAACAAATACTAAGAAGCAGCCAAAATGGGAAGACAGAGAAGCAGACCCCAAATGAAAGAACAAGAGAACTGTCCAGAAGAACTAGATGAAATGGAGGCAAGCAATTGATACAGATAGAGTTTAGAATATTGATACTCAGTATAAGGATGCTCAACAGCATGCAAAAAGATGTAAAAAACATAAGAAAGGGCCAGTCAGAAATAAAGAATGCAATATCTGAAATAATACACCAGAAAGAATAAACAGTAGGCTAGATGAAGTAGAGGATAGAATCAGTGATTTGGAAGACAAGGTAGAAAAAAACACCCAGGCAGAGAAGCAGAAAAAAAAAAAAGAAATTAAAAAAATGAGGAGAGCTTAAGAAACATTTTGGACAACATGGAACATAACAACATCTGCATCTGCATATGGGAACACCAGAAGGAGAAGAGAGTGAGCAAGGAGTTGAGAACCTGTTTGAAGAAATAATGACTGAAAACTTCCTTAATCTGGTGAAGGAAAAAGACACACACATCCAGGAAGCTCAGAGAGTCCCAAACAAGTTGGGCCCAAAGAGGCCTATACCCAGACACATCATAATTAAAATGTTAAGGCTTAAAGATGAGGAGAGAATCCTGAAAGTCACAAGAGAAAAGCAGGTAGTTACATACAAGGGAGCACCAATTAAGACTGTCATCTGATTACTCAACAGAAACATTTCAGGCCAAAAGGGACTGGCATGAAATATTCAAAGTGATAAAAAGCAAGGTACTACAAACAAGACTACTTTACCCAGCAAGGCTATCATTTAAAATCGAAAGAGAAATAAGGAGCTTCCCAGAAAAGAAAAAGCTAAAGAAGTTTGTTAACACCAAATCAGTACTGCAACAAATATAAAAGGACTTGCTTTAAGAAGAAGAAAAAGAGAAATAAAAAAACAGGAACATAGTCTAACAATAAAATGGGACTAAATACATATCGATCAATAATCACCTTAAATATAAATGGCTTAAACCCTTAAAAGCCATATATGACAAATTCACTGGGAGAAAACTCCACGCATTCCCCTTTAGATTGGGAATAGGACAGGGATGTCTGCTTTTACACTCATTCACCATAGCACTAGAAGTCCTAGCCACAGCAACCAGACAAGAAGAAGAAATAAAAGGCATCCAGACTGGAAAGGAAGAAGTAAAACTTCCTGTAGATGACATGACACTGAACACAGAGAACCCCAAGCATTCCACCAAGAAACTACTAGAACTGATAAAAGAATTCAGCAAAGTAGCAGGATACAAAACTAACATTCAGAAATCAGTTGCATTTTTATATGCCAGTAACAAACTAGTAGAAAGGGAAATTAAGAAAACAATCCCATTCACAATTGCTTTAAAAAGAATAAAATACCTAGAAATAAACCTAACCCAGGATGTAAAAGACCTGTACTTGGGAAATTATAAGACACTGAAGAAACTGAAGAAGATATGAGTAAGTGGAAGCACATGCCATGTTCATGGAAAGGATGGATTAACATCATTAAAATGTCCATACTACCAAAGTAACCTATATACTCAACGCAATTCCTTCAAGATTCCAATGATGCATTTCACAGAACTAGAACAAATATTTTGAAAATTTATATGGGACCACAAAAGGCCCCTCATAGCAACAGCAATCCTGAGAAAGAAGAACAAAGTTGGAGGAATCACATTATCTAATATTAAACTACACTACAAGGCCATAGTAATTAAAACAGCATGTAGAGGCATAGAAACATACCCATAAATCAGTGGAGCAGAATAGAGAGCCCAGAAATAAATCCACACCTTTACAGTCAATTGATATTCAGCAGAGGAAGTAAGTGTATACAATGGGCTAAAGATAGTTTATTCAATAAATGGTGTTGGGAAAATTTATCAGATAGGTGCAGAAAAATGCAACTAGACCACTTTCTTATACCACACACAAGAATAAATACAAAATGGATTAAAGACTTAAATGTTAAGCCGGAAACCATAAAAATCATAGAAGAAAACATAGGCAGCAAAAATTCTGGATATAGCTGGTAACAATATTTTATTAGATGTATCTTCCCGGACAAGAGAAACAAAAGAAAGAATAAACAAAAAAAGTCCTTGCACAGCAAAGGAAAACATCAACAAAATAAAAAGACAACCCACAGAATGAGAGAACATATTTGCTGATACTTCTGATAAGGGGTTAATTTCCAAAATTTATAAAGAACTTACAAAATTCAACATCAAACAAAACAAACAACTCAATTAAAAAATGGGCAAAGGACTTGAATGGACACTTCTCCAAAGAGGACATACAGGTGGCCAACAGACATATGAAAAGATGTTCAATGTCACTGATCATCAGAGAAATGCAAATTAAAACCACAATGAGATAGCACCTCACACCTGTCAGGATGGCCATCATCAATAAATCAACAAACAGCAAGTGCTGGCGAGGATGTGGAGAAAGGGACACGCTTCTGCACTGCTGGTGGGAATGCGGACTGGTGCAGCCACTGTGGAAAACAGTGTGGATAAACCTCAAAGAATTAAAAATGGATCTGCCTTTTGACACAGCTATCCCACTTCTGGGACTATATCCAAAGGAACCCAAAACACTAATTGAAAGAACATAAGCACCCCTGTGTTCATTGCAACGCTATTTACAATCACCAAGATATGGAAGGAACCCAAGTGCCCATCAGTAGACAAGTGGATAAAACAACCATGGGGCAGTTACATAGTGGAATACTACTTGGCTGTAAACAGTAAGAAAGTTTTACACTTTGTGACCATATGGATAGACCTGGAGAACACTATGCTAAGTGAAACAAGCCAGTCAGAGAGAGACAAATACCATATGCTTTCACTCATATATGGGATCTAATGAACAAACTGAACTAACAAGCAAAACAGAGATAGACTCATAGATAGAGAGCAGGATGACAGCTAAGGACAGGGAGGGTAGGGGGTGGAGCAAAAAAGGAAAAGGGACTCGTGGACAACAGTGTGGTGATTGTTGAGGGGGTAGTGAGGTATAAGGAGACTAAATGGTAATTAAAGTACAGTAAAAAATTATTAAACAAAAAATAAAAATAGAAAAAAGTTACCAAAATTATTTCAAGTTAATCCCAATATGAAAATTTTACTACACAATAAAAATGTAACTAAATACAGAATAAAGCTCTTTATTATTTATTCATTTCAAGGTAGGATTAAGGGCAGAGAATATAATACAGTTCAAATAAAGTAGTTCCCTGGCTTGACAAAAAATAGATACTTGCTATAGGCAGAAAATTATTACAAACATTGAAAACAAATGGGCAAAACAATAAGTTTTATAGATTTTTGCATTTTAAAATTATGGTTCATCAGAAACTATGCTTTTCTCCTGCACTGATACTAAAGTAATTGCATTTTGGCTTAAATTATGACTGATAATAATTTATCCCTCTGTGTACAAAATATTGTTTCTATATTTTAGATTAGAAATTCTATAATATTAAAAAGCTTGTAAGATGAATTGCCAACAAAAATGTGAAGTCATATATACATTTCCGACATTGGGGAATTATTACAATTACTGTGTTATAAAGTGCCAAACATGGGCAACGTATCCAAGTTATAGGTTAGTTATGATGAAATAATAAAAGTATATATTCAAATTAATAATTCAGTAAATTTGTTCATTTGAATGATAAGCAAACATCACCATGTGACTATGTGCCAAATTCCATGGGGTTCAGAATGTGTAGATTTTGTTGCTGTGCTATTTTTAGGAAATAGGGGGCTTCAATTCAAACCCTTCTCTGTTTCTGGATACACTGCAGTGAGATACAATTTTAGGGAGTAAACATTTTTACTGAAAGATAAGATCTTCAAAACACCTATTCAATAAGTATATTCTTAATCCAAAAATGTATCTGCCACCAGATTTGTTCTGTCACAATGCTAGAATTATTAGAGTAAATGTACAACTGTGTCATGGCTAGGAAAAAGATTTTAATGACCATATTTTTCTCCTTTGCTTAGGTGGCTGGATTCAGCGTAAGCCTAAGCAGATCGGAACTCTGCTTTCGTGACTGCCTTTTGGCATGCCTTGGGTCACGCAGCTGAACTATATTTTAGACACATGCACTAAGGAACTTTTGGCAGATTGGGAAGTTCCCAGAAGTCTCATGAAGGTGGCTGGGAGCTGGTAATTCTGAGGTAACTGATTTCCTGAGTGCGCTGGTTTGTGGGGTCCTCCAAGTCTCAGTGATGTCAGCGTCAAAAACGAGTCAACGGGTTGGTTCGGCTAAGTTTATTTCTCTTCATACACTCATTTAACAAATGGTAGGTCAATCTGATCCTACCAGAAAAATCAAAAGACTGCTAGAGAAAATATCTTACTTGCTGATCACTTGATTAGTGTTTTAGGCATTAAAGGCTAAAAGTATTGAAAAGGCCAACAAATGACATCAGTATTAGGATCTTCCCTTGTGATTGTAGGTGCATCAAAAAAATTTTATATCTAAATGGATATTTGCTAAAATTACAAACTAAGTAACATTTGATATCTAAATGAACAAAAGGGGAGATAAGCTAAAATCTGTAATACATACTTACTACTGTACATAGTATCACTCTCAGTGGTTGAGGTAAGATCAGATACAGGCGGTGTATTTATTGACAGGATACCTGTACTCCTGAAAACCCTCTTTCAGTTAGTCACTACTCACCGAGTTGCTGCCACATCTACAGCAGCATCTTTCCAACAGCTCTGACTGGACCTGAATGGCCTCTCTGCACTGGGCACTGTATCCCTTTCCGAGGCATGTTCATGCTAAGTATACTGGCGGTCAGTAATACTGCAGTTGTTAATGAACGGCTATACACTGGCCAAAAACTGCTTACTTAAACTTCCACTAAACAGAGACAGGCTGTCAAAGAAGATTTGGCTAAGTTGTTACCTTACTTACAAAGTGCACTGTCCATGTATCAAACAAGGACTAATTCCAAAATGGTAAATAAAGCACACTATCTTCTTAAGTCCATTTGGTCTTTGAAATGGGTATAGTCATGAAGTTTCTTGTCTTTTCTGAAAGGGCATGATACTGCTATGTACCGTTACCTAAATATTATGATGGTTAATGGATGTTGCTCTCGTGGATGCACTGGTCCATGAGAAGTCTTCACTCCTGATGTTTGCCACAAACCCAGCGCAGCTGATGATCGTCCTGAAGGTCAGTCAGTTCTCTGACAGTTCTCCAGCTACACTGGCAGGCATATGCCCGTGTTCCTTTCTTCTTTACCAACTTTGTTTTTAATTTCTGGAATTCTGGCATGTTGTTCCTATTAGTAAAACATGAGTGTTTTAAAAATAGTGGCTTTGTCAGTGCTTAATGACTTAAAGAAAGTTCTAATTGCTTGAATTTCCCATCTTTGTAACATCTGAACACTAAACAAGCCTTGGTTCCCCTCACACAAAAACCAGAAGATACGCTTCCATGTTCTTCTGGTGGTATCTCCTCAGTAATGAGTCCATTTTCTTGGTGGTTCTCTAGGCCTGTTTACTAAGGCTGTTTAGAACACAGTGACCTAAAAAGCTGAAGAATTATTGATTTGTCTTATCAGAGATGATATGACATGAGAATAGAATGAAAAGTATGGTGGTTCACTGCCTACCTCCCATACTCACTGTACCACATTCTAAAAGCCTATAATATGGCAAATGGAGGGGATATAAGAAGCATGAAAATAATAAGCTTCTGATAGGTTAACTACAGAAAATTTTCATTAATAGAGAAAATGTGCCTGTTATTTCTATATGTGGAACTGACATTATATCTTTCATTTTTAAAAGATACTATTCATTTATTTTTAGAGAGAGGGGAAGGCAGGGGGAAGAGAGAAACATTCATTAGTGGTTGCCTCTCATGCTCTCCCACATTGGGGACCTGGTCCGTAACCTAGGCACGTGCCCTAGACTGGGAATTGAACTGGCGACATTTCTGTCCATAGGCTGGCACTCAATCCACTGAGCCACACCAGCTGGGACTCTATCTTTTATTTTTTAAATGATATGTTACTTAATTAGAATATCAGCAACAAAATAAATGCCAACCTACATTAAATGAAAATAATGTGAAAATAATTAAATCAATTGGCAGGACCATCATGAAAAATGATAACCCTATGACTTTTTTAAAAAAGATTTTATTTATTTATTTTTAGAGAGAGGGGAAGGAAAGGAGAAAGAGAGGGAGAGAAACATCAATGTGCGGTTGCCTCTCGTGTAACCTACTGGGGGCCTGGCCCACAACCTTGGCTCGAACCAGTGACCCTTTGGTTCAGTCTGCACTCAATCCACTGAGCTACACCAGCCAGGCAATAAGCATTTGACTCGATGGAATTATATAAAAAAAAAAAGACTAGAGAGGTTTAGTTAATTGAAAGTCAATTATGATTTTCACAATAATTCATGTACTGAAATTTATGTAGTTATTCTCTGGCAAAAGAAAAATTTAAAAAATGAAATGAAGAAAAATGTAAAGTGGTGACACACAGTATAAATATTAAAAAAGAGAGATACAGTCCCATCTTGGCGTTTTATGTCACTCGACTGAAGACAGGCTATGAAGTGCCCTCTGGTGGCCGATGAACACCACATTCAGTGCTGTGTTGTACAAAATCTGGGCACAATTTAGAAGGTCAGAGCCTAACAAAACCTGAAGAATTTTCCAGTTCACTGTCTGATTTCGGGAAACTGAGACTGACTAGCTAACTGACTTAGCTTGGGTTACAGTGAGCCGGGTGGGGGGAGATGCATCATCAAAGTTTTATTAGAAAGAAACCCCCCACAAAACTAAATGTGTCTAATGAAGGCTAAATATTAAATACAAAAAATGTTCTTTCTTCAATATGTAATATATTTTGACAAATTTAATGTCTGATATCTGATTGAATTCATCATTAGAGATTTTAGGAGTAAGAATCATGAATAGCCAGGAAACTAATTAATACATTTCAAATGCTTTTTAAGAGCACATGTATCTTAAAAGCTTAGGAAGAAAAATAATTTCATTATTTCTCATACAGAAAATGATTTAAAATAAAAATAAAAATAAAAGCATGTTATTCAGCTATTACGGGACAATGACCAAATATAGATTATACTTCTTTTAGAAAGTTCTAGAACTTGTCAAGGCTGGAACACATTTCTTTTCCTCATTTATAAAATAAGGAAAATAAAATAAACAGCAGCACGACATTTCACTGTATCACCAATGCTCAGACTGATGCCACTAAAAATAAATTGTTCCCTACATGCTGCTGAGGTTTCAGTGTCACCTGCAAGCTGTTAGCTTGCTTTCAGGCACCACCTACTTCCGGATTCCCTGCAATTATGCCCACCCTCCTCAAATATTTCACCTGCCCTGCACTCCTTTCCTTCCAGCAGATCACATCCCGAAAGCCAGGCGTCAGATGTGAAAGCTTTCCATCTCCCAGCTTTCCGCATGAAACGTATGAGTATCTTACCTCCTCCCACCCAAAGAGGGTGAACTCCTCTTCCTATCCGAGGCTCACTTCCCATCTCAGCACTCCAAACTCCAAAGCCTCCAGGACCATGTTACTCACAAACTGCCCCCAACACCCCCCCCCCCCGTCACAATATCAAAGCACCTCCTATCTTCGATAAATGATCCCTTAACTGCGTTCACTGACAGGTTCTAAGTGGCCTTCCTGGGTCATATAGCATCCAATCTCACGGTTTCAACTACCATGTTACAGACTACATTTCCTACCACAGTTTCAACAGCTCTCATAAATGAACATATAACCTTTTTCTCCAAAATCTGTTTGTAAGTCCCATTTATCAACAGGCAGTATGATCATCTAGCTTTGTAAACCACAACAGAAACCTAGGACTCGTCCTAGACGCCATTTGCCACTTTTCACAGCCAGGCTACCTCTAAAATCTCTCTCAAATACATGTACTCCTCTCTACCCTCTTCACAGACATAATTCAGGTCCTTAGTGCTTTCCCACTGGATTATTGTAATACCCTTCACTAATCTGCATGATTCTCAGCTGGCCTGGTTCCCATACATTCACTCTATTCAGATCTTCCCCGATTAAAAGCCTTCAGTGGTTGGCCGTTGCCTAAAAATTTAGCCCAGATCCCCCATGTTCCTTTCCTGGCTCTGCTGTTTTCTCCCTCTCTCCTACTTCACTCACCTCTTCCTCTCTCCTGTTCTTGTCTACTCTCCACAGTCCAAACTACTTAAAAGTTCTCAAACCCGCCACGTGGCTGCACCTGTGTCTTTAACAACACCCTGTCCGTCTTGTTTGCTAGGCAGACTCCTGACCATTCTGCAAGACTCTGAGGTTTCCCCTGATACCTCAGGATAAAGTACATTCGCCTTGTCCTGCGATGCTCTTTCAACCTCTCTCCACTGTCACATGCATCACACGATGCTGTAAGTGATGTTGCTCCCTCTCAAAAGTGCATCACTTGAGAGTAGAAACTGGGTGATACTTGTGAGCCCAGTGTCTAAGAATGCCACAGACCCGGTGTGGAATGATGTGTGTTTGATACAGAAACACTAATAAGCCCTACAAAATAAAAACGTATCAGTGATTTATATCCTGATGATGGCGACAGCCTTTTCCTTTATTTGTTCTATTCTCTTACCTCCCACATATTTCTAAGTATCTTGAGGGCTGAGACAGTAATTGCTGCTGATATAAATAATAATTACTTGTTATTTGCTATTTAAAAATATTGTATTTAGTATATTATAGAAAGACAAATAATAAATATTATTTATTTTTAATAGTATAATAAGTTGTCTAGTTCTCACTGTTTTATCTAAATGTACATATTTTTAAAACTGGGCTGCCACACTCGAGCCCCATTTAGTTGTGCCCTTAGCTCTGGGGGCAGCTGTGGCCCCACTCTGAGGGCTGCTGCCACCTGAGCTGCCACAGGTCCCACCGATGCTGGCACCAGAGCTCTGACTCCTGTGACAATGGCAGTGGTTAGCAGTCTGGGGACTCTGGCTGTGGCTGCAGTTCTGAAGGCTGCTGCTGGCCTGGAATCTAATGCTGAACAGAATCCAAAAGAGGCCAGGAAAAGCCCCAGCTGGATGCAGCCATTCCCCCATTCCCTGGTTTGAGCTGGGATGTTCCCAGGGAGGGTTCCAAGCTCTCCAGATGGTCTTCCAGTCTGATGTCCAAGGTCCCACACTCTCCTCCCCCCTGCACCTGACAATGACTGGCAGTGCCTGTGCTTGACCCTGTGAAAAAATAAAGCTTCTCTTCCTCGTTAGCAAAACAAACAAACTAACAAAAGCAGGCTGCCACAGATCTAGAGTAAAGCAGTTGATGTTCTTAATAATGCTGAGACACTACAAATTCCTCAAGTACCAAATAAGTCAACAGAAAGCTTACTTAATGCCTGTGCTCACCCCAATTTTGATATTACATACATTCTATTATTCTATCTATCAATAGTTTTGTAAAAATTGATGGTTTTCATCTTGGTGACATATGGGGATTATTAATCACTCATTAGATTAACCAGAAGACAGCATCTAGCAGAGGATTTTAAAAAGTTAGAAAAGGCAAAACAGGCATGACACTAAAAGTTAACTTTTCCTGCCCTGGCTGGTATGGCTCAGTGGACTGAGCACCGGCCTATGAACCAAAGGGTCACCCATTCGATTCCAAATCAGAGCACATGCCTGAGGTGTGGGCCAGGTCCCCAGTAGGGGGTGCATGAGAGGCAAACACACATTGACGTTTCTATCTCTTTCTCCCTCCCTAACCCCTCTAAAAAAGTATATAAATAAAATCTTTAACAAAAAAATGATTAAAAAGTTAATTTTTCCAACTATGGGATTTAAAGTAGACTAACCTGAGCCCTAACTGGTGTGGCTCAGTGAATTGAGTGCTGGCCTGCAAACCAAAGGGTCACTGGTTGGATTCTCATACAGGGCATACGCCTGGGTTGTGGGCCAGGTCCCCAGTGTGGGGCATGGGAAAGGCACCCACACATTGATGTTTCTCTCCTTCTCTTTCTCCCTCCCTTCCACTATCTCTAAAAAAAAAAAAAAGTAGGCTAACCTGACTTGGGATTTTAGGATTACACTAGGCCTCTTAAATGATAATTTTTCCACATATTTATTTATACATCTCAATTTTGTGTGTGTGTGTGTGGAGAGGATTTAAAATTTTCATGAGATTTTCAAAGCAGTGCTTGATGTGAAGAAGTTTAAAACCTATTAAATCAGAAGAGACTCCTAGGGATCTATCTACATGTGAATCGGTGCCAGGAGAGGTGTGGACGACTCGTCCTTTCTTCGTGCTGTTGGACAGTGCTGTGATTATTGTCTGATTACTTGTATCTGAAAATATAGCTTTGGTCTAGGTACAGGACAGGGGAGCCAAAAATGCATGAATATGCTTTATTAATTTTTATTTTATTTTTGATTAATTATGCCATTACATTCGTTCTATTCCCCCCCGTTCCCCTCCACCCTGCACACCCCTCCCCCACCACCACCCCCCTTTAGTTCATGAACATGTGTCTCAAGTTCTTTAGATTCTGTATTTCCCATACTATTCTTACCCTCCCCGTATCTATTTTCTATCTACTGTCTATGCTACTTATTTTCTGTACCTTCTCCCCCCCTTCTCCTTCTCCCACTCCCCTGTTGCTAATCCTCCATGTGATCTTCATTTCTATGGTTCACTCCTGATCTAGCTGTCCTCTTAATTTGCTTTTGTTTTAGGTGTGTTTGTTAATAACTGTGAGTTTGCTGTCCTTTCACTGTTCATATTTTTATCTTCTTTTTCTTAGGTAAGTCCCTTTAACATTTCATATAATAAAGGTTTGGTGATGATGAACTCCTTGAATTTGATCTTATCTGAGAAGCACTTTATCTGTCCTTTCATTCTAAATGAAAGTTTTGCTGGATAGATCAATCTTGGATGTATGTCTTTGGATTTCATGACTTGGAATACCTCTTTCCAGCCCCTTCTTGCCTGTAAGGTCTCTTTTGAGAAATCTGCTGACAGTCTGATGGGAACTCCTTTGTAGGTGACTGTCCCCTTCTCTCTTGCTGCTTCTAGGATTCTCTCCTTCATTTTAACCTTGGCTAATGTAATGATGATGTGCCTTGGTGTGTTCCTTCTTGGGTCCAAGTTCTTTGGGACTCTCTGAGCTTCCTGGATTTCCTGGAAGTCTATTTCCTTTGCCAGAATGGGGAAGTTCTCTTTTATTATTTGTTCAAATAAGGTTTCCACCCGTGACTGGTACCCCCTTCCCCTTCTGGTACTCTTCCCCTGCTGGTACCCCTATAATTCGAATGTTGGAACGTTTAAAGATGTCCTGAAGGTTCCTAAGCCTCTTCTCATTTTTTAGAATTCTTGTTTCTTCATCCTTTTCTGTTTGGTCATTTTTTCCTTCTTTCTGGTCCACTCCCTTGATTTGAGTCCCAGTTTCCTTCCCATTACTATTGGTTTCCTGTGCATTACCATTCATTTCAATTAGTTTAGCTTCCATATGTTTCTCTAATTTGTGACTAAAATCAACCAGTTCTGTGAGCATCCTGATCACCAGTGTTTTGAACTGTGCATCTGAAAGTTTGGCTATTTCTTCATCGCTTAGATTTATCGAGTCTGGGGCTTTGAGTTGTTCTCGAGCCACGTTTTGATCTGTTTGTGCCTGTTATGTAGGAGGAGCAGAGCCTTAGTTGTTTACCAGGGTGGGGCCACCCAGGTTGCTGGTTTGTGACACTGTATGTGGGGGCGGGGTCAGAGAGGGAGCAATGGCGGTCCTCTCCGCTCGCCCCAGCCTGTTGATCTGAGCGGAAATGTGCGAGCCCACCACCCTGCGCTGGGCGGTCTCAATGCTGGCCTCTTCACTGGTTTATCTACATGCAAACGCTTGACCGACCGCAGACAGCCAGCCGCGCCTCTTCCCTGTGTCTGCCCACAGCTAGCCCGCACCTGGGATCCACGCCTTCCGCTGCCTGCACACCACCCGGTCGGGGATCTTTTTGGCCAACCTGCTCCGCTGCTGGCTTTGCCCCTCTTACCGGTTTAGCCGAGCCTTTCGTTGTTTTTGGACTCTGTATTGTCGATTTTCTGTGTGGTTTGGTTGCGTTTATTGTTGTTAAAACTTTGTTGTTTTTAGATTTGGTTGTGCGAGGACGCAAGGTGTTTCCACCTGTGCCTCCATCTTGGTGGAAGTCTGCTTTATTAATTTTTTAAACTCTAAATTTTTATTTAAAAATGTGATTGCATAGTGTAAGAATATATTTATAACATAACATCTTAAAAATATTAGGTAGTTACTTGTATATAAAAATGTATAAATTGCAAAAGTATGAGTAAGACTACCCTGACCACAAGGAGGGAGGCAGACATGTATCAACCAACCTAAGATTCTCGATTGTGTATTACAGTGAGTCCTATAACAGGTGCAACGTGCTGTGGGCACACAGGAAAGGATGACTTTACTTCCAAGCTGAGAATGGTGAGGGAATCATGCAAGATGTATAATGAATTGTACCCTGAGGGACAGGCAGAGCTGAGGTAGATGAAATGGGAAAGCTTGCACAAAGTCACGGGGAATGGGAGTATGGCGTAATTCGATGTCGCTGAACTCTTGTGAAGGAAAGAGTGGATGATGGACAGGCTGGACCGTGGAGGGTCTTGGATGCCATACTAAGGAATTTTGACATGATTCTATAAGCAGAAAGGTTTTGGGTAGGAGAATGGTTTGTTCTTTTTATGCTTTAATTGTCAGCAAGGGAGAGGCAGTCTGAAAGAAGAGGCTGTAAGCAGAAAAGTCAGAGAGAAGGCTCTATGCATGCATCCAGGAGTGACATGTCCTTACCCAGGCTGACGGCAAACAGATGGAATAAGGAGATGGATGAGAGAAACACTGAGGAGGCAGAAGCTGTGCAATCTGGCCAAGTCTACCAAGAGGCATTACAGCAAAATAAGAAGCATAAAGTTCCACTTGGTACATTTTCACAGCGCAGTTCTTTAGAAGCATACCTGAGAAACATATAATCGCACGATCTGTCCCACATGTAGTCATCATAGCTTTCTACCCAGAAATCACATGCTGTACAGCGTAGACGGTCACATGCTCTGTTCAGAGAAAAAAACCCATACATTAAAGATTACTGGTTCATTTAAATATAAAAATATGGTGATTTATTTATAGGATGTACCACATATTACGCATTACTTAGTAAGCAACAAAAAAAGTAAAGATTAAATTGATTACAAATTTTCATACTAAAGGGCTGATTATACATCTAAACTTTCAGGTTAAATTTCTACACAAACTATCTGACTAAGATCTGATATACCAATACATACATGCACATATATATACTGTAAAGATATAAAAGAAACAAAATGGACGTGCAGGTCTGTTAGTTCAATGGTTTTCAAATTGTACATGAGGTGATCTTCACTTAAGCTAACAACTTTAAGTTGCTTCCTTTCCAATCGGAATTTTCAAGGATGCCTCTATCACAGATTTGCCACCTTATATTGAAACGAACCTGTCTCCCCCATAAGCTACTTGAGTGCTGGGACACTTTCTTATCTGTCGGTTTCCCCAGTAGTTGGCACTAATGCATTATTCATTCACGCATTTCAAAAATAGAGGTTGAGGCAAAAGTAGGTTTACAGTTGTGAGTACACAAAACACAGAATTCATTCTTATATTATTTATTGACTGTTGTATTATTTTTTACACAAACAACTATAAACTTTCTTTTGCCTCACTCTGTATTTACTGAAAGCCTACTATGTGCTAGTGAGATTTTGTCTTCATGGAACTTAGATTCTAATGAGAAAACAATACTCATCACGATGTTAGAAGGTAAAAAATGCTTGAAATGAAACAGTAAGTAGAGTACGGAAAATAAAATTGAGTACTAGGACAGAGTGGGTTGCAATTTTATTTATTTATTTTTTATTTTCACTTGAGGAAATGTTTTCATTGCTCTTCTAAAAAAGAGAGAGGAAGGGAGGGAGAGAAATATCAATGTGAGAGAAGCATTCATTGGTTGCCTTCCACAAGTGCCTGAACCAGGGACTGAACCTGCAGCTCAGGCATGTGCCCCGAGTAGGAATCGAACTTGCAACCTTCTGGTTGTGGGATGATACTCCAACCCACTGAAGCACCCTGGACAGGCTGCAGGTCGGAATTTTAGAGTGGTCTACAAGGCCTCTCTGGGAAGGTGTACTGAGCAGTTTAAATGGAAGTGGTATCTGGTCAAGGAAGTGAGGGTACGAGGACATTTTATTTAAGAAGGGAGGGATAAAGGCATGTTTGTATGCAGGAAAAGGGGCAGAGTTGCTAGAATTATGCTTTTAATTGGAATTAGCATATAATGGGAACTTAGTGAACCTAAGAAACTCAAATGCCAAGCAATTCTCAAAGTCATGCACTAAATAGTAACTTTAGAAGTAAAATGATAATATATAACAATATCCTGAATTGCTGCTGTAAATAATTTGAGTTGTATAATAATTGTTATTTACTTTAAAGAAACCTCCAATGTTTGAAGTATTTAAAAACTAGAATGAATATAGTTGCATTTAATAATTTAAAAATTAAAAGGAAACAAGAATTTTAGATACCCAAAACGCAGTTTTTAAGATATCATAAACAAAGTGAAAAATAGAGTGGAAGAAAACATTTCAGCATGTAGTCTAATACTTATGTTACACAAAGGGTGTTTACAAATGACTAACAAATAAAGAAAAAGCTTAAAACTATATTCAATCTCACTGAAACAGGCATTACAGAATCCTAGTTAAGAGGGCAGACATGCAACACAGACTGCCTAGATCCAACTACTGACTCTACTATATTTACTAGCTGTGTAACTGTAGTCCTGTAACTCCCCAGTGACTCACTTTCCCCATACGTAAAATGGATACTAATAATTCTAATACATCTCTTGGAATTAGTAATGAGGACCTAATAAGTTAATACTGGTAAAGTGCTTCTACCAGTGCCTGGCACATAGTGTTTGTGAAAAGGTAAAATATAACAAATAATTAAAATTTAACACAACAACAAAATAAATTTTTAACCAATTTAATTTAGCACAAATTAGTACTCTCAGACATTCCTGGTGGGTATGTGAACTGCTTTAACCTTAGGGACTATTTTAAAGTTAAAATTATCCCTAGCTGTTGCACTCACTATCAATCCCTTTTGGGGGAAGCAACTGCATATATAAAAGTACCAATATACACATACATCTCAAGAATTTTTGCTGCGGGGATTGTTGAAGTGGCAAAAAACAAGATACCACTTAGATACCAACCCGAAAAGGGAAAAGCTGAATAACATGCAGCATGTTTAGGCTATGGAATATTAGACAGCTGACAGAGAATTAATTTATCCACTGACCCAGAGGGAGTTCAAAAGGTGCACAGTAACATGTACGGCATGGTCCAATTTTTGTAAAAACAACCAAAAAAATTCCTACACAGGTATTTACAGAGGTCAGAACATGCAGAAAAACGTGAAAGGTAATATACTATGTAGCCCACACTGGTTGTCTCAGGAATGGAGGGGAGGGAATGAAATTATTATATTTCTATTTATACATGTTTCAACTTTGTTTTTAGTTTTTTAAAATAAGGATATAACCCTTCTGAAATTAAAAAATAATAAAAATAAAATCCATCATTAGCTATTTTTCACTTATTTCCCTTACAATTCAAATATGGTAACTTTAAAATTGCAAATATTTGCCCTAAAGATACCTTTGAGAATGCTTTCTATTTCTAAATTATTTTTAATCAAAAATTATTATTAATCATAACAATAACTAAATGTGCAAAATTTTACAAGTTCGATAAGCAATTACATATTTTCTTTTAAATGGTTAGCAATTTATGAAGTTGTATTGGTACATGTGGAAATTCAACACAGGTACACTGGTACACATTTGAACTTGGATTATGAATGTACAGGTCAGGAAATGCAAAATGATGGTTCCCAAAGCTGCCGTAACTTGCTTTCTTATGCATATGTAGTTTATTACATGATTGCACAGAGTGTTAACTTTAATGCCTTAATACATGTGTGCAATTTGGCTGAATTATTGCTGTTGTGGGAACTATAATTTTGAATTTCCTGACGTTTCGTATGTGTAAAATCTCAACCATAATGTTAAATACAGCTTTTTAATTTAATTTAAAATTTAGTAGTTTATTCAAATCTATTCACACTACTACATGTTCCTACAAACACTGTCCTTTGAGAAAAATAAAACTAACTAGCAGCTAAGAAATCATTCTGCTATTACGGTTCACTATGTTAGATCATAATTAGTACCAGTCTATGGAATAATCCAGTCTTGCAAGTACTTTAAAAATAATTAGGAGTAAAATTCGATTTGGCTTGAAAATAAGCCTTGGTTTTGTCTGTACCTTACTAACACTACCGCGCTGTCTGCTGCTGCTCTTTCTCCTTTCCACCAACCAGGTACAAGGCTCCAATCTTTACACTCTAAAATTGTTGAGTATTACTTCCAACCAGAACTCTACCCATAAATTAAACAAATAAAACACACGGAAAACAGGCAGAATAAACTCAGTTTCATTTATGCCCTGGGCATGTAAATCAGTGCTTATTTTCAGGGCTTAAAATTATTCCTCTTCCATAAATATGTATAACCGGAGCATATCTAAAATAAAGTCATGATTCCAATGAAAGATAAATCATCTAAAATGTGGCAGGAATAGACTATAAAGGTATCACCAACAGCTTTGTCCCTTTGTCCTAAACCTTTATTGTTTAAAAACGCTTATGATGGGAGTGCCCCATACACAGCTCAATATAATCTTCTGCCCAGACCCTGTGGCTCTCAGTCAGACCTTGTCAGATCTACAGAGTAGACCAGGGAGTTTTGATGTTTGGACAGCTGGAAAATAACAGCAGCTCTGGCAGCAAAAACAGCGAAGATTCTCTCTTGTTACATCATTACATGGCCTTCTTCAAATTGGCTTGCTAGAAAGCATAATGGGATGGGAACTTGCTTTGTAATACTAACTCTATGTGACCTTGGACAAGGCTCATTATTTGGGAATCATTCTTAGTAAGTTCTTTCTTAGCCATTTATTTCATCAAATTTTGTCCATTCTAGATTCCAAATGGCTCAAATGTGCCACCTTTTCCCAACAGCCACTGTCACCACTCAGATCACAGCTGCCATTATCGTCTCTTTCCTGGACCGCTCTAACAGTGCCTGCTGACTGGTCTCCCTGGGTCCTCCTCCTGTCCTGTCCCTCTACCTTCCAATCTATTTGCTATTCAGTAGCAAAAATAACTTTCTGTAGAAACACAATCTGATTAGGTGACTCTATTTACTAAAAACCGAGCAACCAACCAACCAACCATCTACCAATGGCTTCCACTGCATATACGACAAGACTTTCTAAAATCTTCTAAAGGACTACAGGACCACACACCAAAGGTCCCCCGACTACCTCTCCACCCCATCAGGAGCCATTCTGTCCCCCCACTCACTACGCTCCAGCTCACCTGCCTGCTCTCTGCTCTTCCAATGCTCCCTCCCAGCTCATGGTCATTTAACACGGCACACCCTCTGGCTCCAATGGTCCCCTGGCTTTGCTTAATTCCTACTCATTTTTCATATAAGACTCCAATTCAATGTTATTTGCTTAGGGAGGTATTTTCTTTGGTTCGAAGGCCAGTGCTCAATCCACTGAGCTACACTATCCAGGGCAGGGAAGTATTTTCTAACCCTTCATATTAGATGTGCTAATGATCTATGCTTATAGCATTGTGTACTTTCCCTTTGCATTACATGTTAGATGAAAATTAAATGCTTATTTGTAAAATTATCTATTTAAAGTCTCTCTCCTCATGCAGACTGAAAGCTCACAAATAACACATATGTGGTATTTGTACACCACGACGTGTTTACCCGAAACCTAGGACCTAGCAAGCAGCTGGTTAATTGATATGTGTTTGATGAGCTTAACACAAGTGCTTCAATTTCCTCATTTATAAAATGGGGTTAAAAATTCTTGCTCTGTCTGTGTCTTGTTTTTTTCCTATGGAGCAAGTGAACCAATATGCATATATAAAAAAGTGCTCTAGACAGTATAAAATTCTTCACACACAAAATGTTTTACATGCACATAAACAGGTATGTGCTTGTCCTTCTGTGGGTGCAGATCTGTGTTGTGAAAGGGGGTTTGAAAACTGGTATCTTTGTAACAGGTGAGGAAGAAAAGATCTGTGAATATAAATATTTACTTGTGCATATATATGCAAATGGTGTATGTTTTCTGCTCTTGTAGCTGTGCAGAAGTTAGGAATGGGGTCTGATGGGTTTTGCCATTCTTACGGATCAATATTATGTGATAGGATCCTCAAGCTACATACAAACAGGCCATTCTTTTGTCTACTGAAATTCTATCTGGACCAAGACTCTTCTATGCCAGAACTAAACCAAAGGACATATAAAAATACTATGTAAAAGAAAATCTTAATGAAATGTTTACTTTTTAGAAGTAAAACTGAATATATTGTCTTAAAGACAATTTTTAAAATCAGAAGACACCTGTAAGTAGACACTGATGCATGTTTCCTGAGATTGAATGGAAAGGTAAGAGCAGAATACGGGATTCCTCCTGTGAAATGTAACAGTAATTGTCTTGGAAACAGAAATGATTAAGATGAGTCCCACTGACTTGACAGGTAAGTCAGGACTGATAACAACCAGACTGTATTCTTCTCCAAGGGCAGTCTGTACCTCCGACCCTTTGTACAGAGTCCTCACTGCGTGATGATTCGAGTGCTCTCAGCTCTTATTCACAACCTGTGGAGCAGGCAGCACCCCAGCAGACTGCTGTCAGCCTGTCTACTGCCTGGGTTTCTGATGCAGGCTTCCCCAGGCTGCCTCCCTCTGGTCCAACTGCCCTTCTTTCCAGCGCTCGACCAACAATGCTCCAACAACACATTTTTAGATCCCAGTTCTATTATTCGATATAACAGTTATCCCTCCTGAAATGTGGTCAACACGTGATCATACATCTTAGTCTTTTCTTTCTTAAAAAATTAACAGAAAATGAAGTGTTTTAACTGGACAGAAATGTAATAATCTAGGTAAGTAGGCTTTTGCAAAGATAAAACCAAAAGTATCGGGACAATAGGAAGATTTGTTTAAAATCAGTCTTTCCACATTATGACAATGATAATGGAATGTGCCAGGAGTATGAGGCTGATGAGGGCTTGATTTAGGTGTCATTATAGCCATAAGAAATGCTCTGATAGATGTGCTGAGTGAGTATAAGAAGGGTGGGGGAAGAGATAAAGAAAGGAGGGTCTCTATTTAAATATGTAAAATAAGTGACTGTGAGAACTTTGGGGAAACTACAGACTTGCAGCCTCTCCTGCTGTTTGGCCAAGTCAGTGTGGGTAACACCTTACACAGCCACATGGCTGCACTGCTTTGCCCCTGACTTACCAATTGGCTTCCACTGACCAAGAGGAAAAAATGGCAAAGCACAAGCTCCCTCTCCTGGTGTCCCGTGAAATCCACGCTGGAACTAGAGGGACCCAGGCACTTCCAAGTGGGGCTCAGAAAAAGGCATCAACACAGTGAACACCACAAACTCAACATCAAAGCTTTCAACGGCTATTGCCCAAGAATAATAAAGGTTTCAGTAAAGCACCCTTGGGTTGGCTAATAAAATATACTACTCATTTTGAAACAGATTGATGCCAAGGTAAGAATTATGTTTTAACAACAGGGTATCAGTTTGGAAAACCTAGTGAGGAAGTATCTTTCTGACGTCCTACCTCTGGGAAGTCCTTGTTCCAATGCCACACGGTGCAGTGCTTCCGCCTAGGTACACAGGGCTGCAGCTGGACGTGTTCACAGGCAGGAGAAAAAGAAAATTACAGCAAGAAAGGAATATGAGAAGTTCATTTGGCTGTGCTGACTCTACAGTTATATCCAAATGGAATATTTTCCTGACCAAGCCAACTGTTTTAAAGAAGAGATATTTATTCTAGGGTCACTGCTTTAGTGGATATAACCTGTATATTCAGGAACACTCAAGGAGTTAAAATGAGTCACAGAAAAATGTATTTGCCAAATAATGTAAGGGACAAAGTAAATACTGAGGAATATAACAGAACATTAATTTTGAGAAACTGTTCACACTTCCTTTTCACATGGCAGAAAATTATTTATAATAGCAATAATCCCTCAGCCAAGTTCCTTTACACTAAGGGGCCACAGACCATGAGAACACTGAGGATACAGCTATTGGCCTTTCTCCTGAAAGCCAATCAGTGCTTTGTTGTTTAATGTCACTGTGGCTTAGATGGTAACAAAATCTACTAGTCTATGCTCACAGTGTCTGCTCACCAGTGTGTGTAATTTACCAGAGCCATCTCAACTTACCTCTTACCAAGGCCTTGAATGGAAGCTCTGACAGATGTGTTACCTGAAGATTTAGATTTTAATTTCTGTTAAAAAAACAAAACAATAAAAGGCCAAGAGTAACCTTAGATAATTGTAACATGAAAACTAATATTCTTTATTTTATAACAAGAGTATTTTTTAAATGACTTAAATAAAAAATCTCTATCATTTTAAAGTTCCTGAAATTAAAAAACAGTGATCAAAACCTTTTTTTTTTTAAGGCAAAAAGGAAGTAGACCTCCCTGAGGAATTTGCAAATTACTCTGCTAACTTCTGGTCTAGGAAATTGATATATTGCCATTATTAGCATGCTAAGATTTAGAGTCACTTTATAACTCTTCAATTAATACTAGAGGTCAATGATTTAATACGAAGGACATTCTACTTAAAACCTCATCCTGGAAAAATTCAATTGAGGAGGAAAAAATCCTCAGACTCATTTTTAAAGGCTGTGTATGGTACTCACCTGAACTAAAAATAAACTGACCAAACTCCTGGGTAACTTCAGGAATATTAATTTTGATCAACTGGAAAGGTATGAACCAATAGGCATTCAAGAAAAATGTAGACTACCTAGTCACAAGCATACAGTAGTCCCTATACGGTTACATAACATCACTGTCATTAGCAGGCATTTATTAAGTGTTAACTGGTATATGGTACCAAACAACATAAACCAACTTACATACCAGGACCACCGCCAAGGAGAGGAAGTGAGATGGAGAAAACGCAATTTAAATTGTGCAGAGACATGCCTTCATTTTACCTAGTAGGTGAGGAAATTTAATGGAGGCAGAAATATTTCACTTTACTATTTCTTTTAACTCCTTCATTTGATGTTAAACAGAACTAGAAAAAATTTGGGTGCATGTCTCAAAAATAATAATGTGCATAAGTCTATCTGTGTTCTGAAATATGTTTCATGTATCCTCCAGGCTCATGCTTATGACTCAAAGCTGGCATACTGTCATGTTTAGTGGGTGCATGTCTCAAAAATAATAATGTGCATAAGTCTATCTGTGTTCTGAAATATGTTTCATGTATCCTCCAGGCTCATGCTTATGACTCAAAGCTGGCGTACTGTCATGTTTAGTGCTGTTTCTGGGCTTTTCCGTGTGGCTCTGAGAGCACTGGGGGAAGGAGCAGTGCTCCCGAGAGCACCATCTGGTCTCTGAGGACAAGGTGGGCAGGGACCGGCTATTCAGACACCCCTTTTCCATAATATAATGCTTTACGTAGACCTGCTCCCCTTCAGGAATTTATTTGGGTGTCTTTCTCCCTTGCAGGCTGGAAAATTGGACATAACAACTTTAAAAAGGAGCATACAGAAGAAGTACATAGAGGTTTATTTCTTCACAATTGTAAGAGTTACTTTTATTGCAAATTTGTGTATCTTAAAGCCAAGCCAGAAGTTAGGCTAAGACATTCCCTCTGCTTCTGAAATGCCCTGAACTGAAGAAACAGTGCTTCACACACAGTAAGGGCCCTGTAAGTGCCGAATAAATAATGAATGGCTCCAATGGTCAATGGATCACAAGAACACCATGTAGTTTTCTTCCTACTATGAATTAAATAGCACTGTTACTTGACATTTGTGATGCATTCTCGTTCGCAGGGTATTCAACACCACTGCTGCTGCACTAGCATATTAATCAACCAGGCTGCCAGCTTATTAATGCCTCAGATGAATTGAAAATGTTAGAGAAATAAAGATCTTAAGATCTGTACTAGTCCATCTATTTTTCAGCTGGTTGACAAAAATGTAAGTGGCCCATATACATACACTCACCACCACGCTGCCTGGTGACGTCCAGTGCACTGTCTTGTTTTAATGTTCGCCACCTTTTCAAAAACCTCTTTGCTGGTATATTTACTTCTCGATTTTTTTCTTTGTGGTCTTTGTAATTTAGACTTTCATTTTGTCTCTTTCTTTAAAAACTGAAGTATATAAATTCTCATATACTGATGGTAAGAAGAGCATAAATGATATAGCACTTTAAAAAACATTTTGGCAATGGGTAAAAAAACTGAAAATGAGCATACCTCATAACCTAGCAATTCCTCTTCAAGGTTTATACATGCTAGAGAAACTCCCATATATGGTTAAAAAAAGAGTGCAAAGATATCGGATGAGGCATTGTTTGTAAGAGCAACAACTGGACATAATTTAAATGTCCGTCACCAGGGAAGTGGATAAAGTCATTGCGGTAGAACTACATAACAAGCTATTATATATCAATAAAAATTGTTCAGGGTTACATATACATGTAATAAAAGTACGGATGGAAAGGGTAGTGGTACCTCTGGGAGGAAGGCAGTACAGTAGGCTTTGGAGAGTTCCTAAACTATATAATTTTTATTTAAAAAAGGTCCAGAAGAGCAAATATGGTAAAATATTAATATATATATTTAGTATGAATGGTATATAGGTGACTATTATATAATTTTATGAGCTTTTCATAAAGTTTATGTATACATAAGCATTTGAATATTTAATATATTAGTAATTTACTCATGGGTCATCGGCTAACAGCAATGGCACTGCATCTGAGATGTTAAGCACATTCCTAGATGAAAGCTGTTTGTTTTCAGTCTTTCTGAAAAGTGTTTTCATAGAGTCTATGAATAAATACAAGTAACCAATGTCAACTAAGAGCTGACTTTTGTCCTAACAGCTTTTCTAATTTTACATTCTTGATGAGAGATGAACAGCAAAACATATACTGAGAGTTTCTAATATTTTATTTTGTCTACAGCTCTAAGTGGAATAATTTATTTAGATGATAGTATTTCTCAGAATGCAAAGAACTAAAAATATTTGGGCATTCTGTAAGTTTTCAGACTGTTCTAAACATGCCTTAAATACTAAAAAAATACTGCATATTTATAACACTTGACTTACAAAGGATTTTATATCAAAGTTGGGCTCTTCAAATATTTCATTAATAAGACTGTCAAGATCATCTTCTTTTTTCAATGTTTCTGTTGATCTAAAAAACAAAACAGTTGAAGCTTAAGAGCACATAAAGTCAGCCAGTAACATAAGAGTTTTACTTAAATAATGTCTATTATTTGTCTAATGTCTATTAGAGTTGATAACAGAAGGATAAATGTGACATTAATTTTTTCCTGCTATAAACATAGCTTAAGTTTGTTGAGACAAAAATGTAGTCTCGGTTACAAATTTATATACTTAATATATGACATTTAAAGCTATACAGTATATTCAAGAAAAAGTTGGGCGTGTACTTTTTAAACATCAATCATTCATTTAAGGAATATAAAACATATACAATTATAAAGTAGAACCCGAGAATTAGAAACAAAGATAATTTTAATCAGTCTATTTTTCCCTAAGGGTTTCACTGTAAGTCAAATAAATCTTTTCAGTAGAGGAGTCAAAGGCTATACAATCGAAGGAGCAATACGCTCCCCCTAAAAAGAACAATACTTGGCAGAATATTTCAACTGTCTTTCAGCTCTGCAGGTAAAGTCATCACAGGATTATTGATACAAATTGTTACTGCATGAAACTTCAACAGCTAACAGTTACTGAATACTTACTGTATAAATGAAGAAATGGGGCCCCAGAGATTCAGAAACTCGCTCAAGGTCATACAAATAGTGGAGGAGAGGTTTGGAACTGTCTGGGGCAGTCTGTACACCTAACACTAAGCAAGATTAGAGAGTCTGTGTGTTACAAATGCTGTATATCAACTTCTTCACTGGACCATTAGAATATTTTAGAAGGCAGGTTTTTAGCTGAATCCCCATTTTAGGAAAGTATTTACTCTGTAAAATTCTTAACATTAGGACTGTAGCCCTTCATTGTTATTGCCTGTGGTAAAATAATTAATCTGATGTAAGGAAATCCAGAGACTGCTGCCGAGAGTGGACGCCTGATTCCATGTATTCTTAAGGCCTTGCCTCTTCAGTTGTTTCCTTTGTAACTTTTATCCTCACTGTCTGCCACTCTGCACTGGCTTCTTCCTTGATTTCTCAGTGGGCTTAAGACTTTGCTTTTCAAAGAACCTAAAAAACCCTCTTGAAGCTGTTTGCTCGCTCTCTCTCTCTAATCCTCACCTAAAGGACACTTTTTTCATTGCTTTTAGAGAGAGAAACATCACTGTATGCTCCCGGACTGCACTGGGGATTGGGGATCAAACCTGCAATGTAGGTTTGTGCCCTGAGCAGGAATTGAACCTGCAAACTTTCCGTTAGGGGATGAAGCTCCAATCAACTGGGCTACACTGGCCAGGGTGCCACCTTGTCTTACTCACTATTGAAGAACAGTCTATCCATTTTTTATACTTCCTTACAAGTATATTGGACTTAGCATCAGCCAGTGACCTGTATGAGGATTTCTCAACCCTGAAACTACTGACATTTAGGGCCAGATTATTCTTTGGGGTGTGTGTTGAGGGGAGGCAAGGGGGGCTGCTGTGCATTGTATGATGTTTTACAGAGTCCCTGACTTCCACCCACTAGATGCCAAAAGCACACGCTTCCCCCGTTGTGACAATCAAAAATGTCAAGCCTTACAAAATGCCTGCTGAGTGGTAAAGTTGTCACTGGTTGAGCATTACTGACCTAATTTAAATTATTTAATCTCTCTGACCGTCAAAGGCTAGGTAGCTATTTAAAACTTCTTTCAGGTATAATAATTCTATCTCTGACCTTTACCTTCCTCAACTACAGTGAAATAATGATTTAGTCCCTACTGCCCAAATCACTATACTCCATGGCCTCTCTGTTTCAATCCTTCTTAGTCTTTCACAAGTATCTGACATTGTTGGGTACCAATTCCTTCGGTTTCTTTCATTGTATAACAGCGGGTTCCTAAGATGTCCTCTGGAAATTCTCTCCTCCTTTGGTTTTTATCAGATACTCTCTGGGTTTTGTTCTCTCATGAAATTTCACAACTTCAGGAATCAGATGCAGTCACATTCTACTAAACTACTCAGCACTGTTAGGGATCCACACTGTTCACATAAGGTTCTGGTCTGTAATTAGATTACACAATTTCATGATGCCTACATTTGCCTGAGCTTTGCTACAGAAAAGAAAAAAAAGCCACCATTTCGTTGAGAACTCACACACATTTTAAAGGACAGTGTAACATATTTTTATCTTTTGGTGTTTTGATGCTACAATAATCTTAATTGAAGGCTAATAAACATTTATTGGTTCTTTCCCTAACTTTGTTTCTTAGTCTAATCTTGACTTAAGATCATTTCTGTCAATAATAAAAGGTATATTCTAAATAAAAAATATAAAAACTTGAGAACCAGAATTAAATATGAAAGTTATACATAAAAGCATAAATCTTGATCTACAATGTCCTGGTAAAATTGAAAATATGGTCTTGGGCAAGTAATTATTTTCCTAAGTCTTGGCTTAGTCAATGAGATGGAGATGATGGTATTCACCTCATAAGGTTGCAGGGGTTAAATGAAATAACATATATAAGACACTCAGCATATAGAAAGAACTCAGTAAATATTTGCTATTATAGCTGTTTTATTTAATAAAATAAATATAATAATAGTGGGCCACATGTGGCCCAAGATGGCTAGGAATGTGGCCTAACACAAGATGGTAAATTTACTTAAAACCTTTTTTCTTGCTTATCAGTTTTCGTGTGTTTGTGTGTTTAATGTGCGGTCCAAGACAACTCTTCTTCTCCCAGTGTGGCCCAGAAACACCAAAAGGTTGGACGCCCCAATAGGAGGTTATGATATTATCTGTAAACATTCCCACTGGTATTATCCTAAACAACTTTATTACTACTGCAGTTTAACCTGTATCTGTCTCTTTAAAACTAATCACACATTTCTTTTATCATTTTGAACCCTTCAAAACATTGCATATGTTTTGAACACTTATATTATTAGCACTTGTTTCTGGTATCCAGATGTAGCATGGTCAATTATTTTATTATTTGCAGAGCTATCATCTTAGGAGACAGTTTTAGTATTTTAACTCTTATAAGGAAAAGATACAGGCTACATCACTATACAGTCAACAGGTGGTCTCCTGTTAATAAATTCATAATATAAATTGGTTCCTAACTTTCAAATATCAATTTTGGCTCAGGACAAAATTTTAATGTTTGGTATTATATACCAGGTAGAGATTGTATTTGGTATTAGATTTAGGGCTTTTAATGCTGTTGCATAATTTACCTTTATAACTACTGCCACATAAAAAGTTTTAAGACCAGTACTGTAGCACACACTGTAGTAAGGTGGGATGGAGTGCTGGAAGCATTATAGATGGATTTTAGTAATACCATCACAGGCTACAGTGAGAGGCATACAAAGACCTGTGTTTGGAGAGCATCTATCTTAGCATCCCTATCCATTTTAAGCAGCTTGCCACAAGACATCCTACCCCTCTGCATGCTAGCTCTCCTAAGGCCGGCAGGCTCTGGAAGGCTCTTTGAGAAATTCTCTCCATCTCCTAAAGTAACAAATAAAAAGAAAAAAAGAAATCGCAAGGAAACATTATTGTAAAATAGGGATATAGATAGGCTGGGAATGGGCACATAAACCTGCCCATCTTTCAAGATGATAATATACAAATTAATGAGTGATATTTGCATAAACATTCAGTCAAATGAGCATTAACCCATTTAAAGTAGTCATTTTAGCTGGCTCCACATTTATGTTTTTATAATGCTGCCCAGCATTCAACTAATTTTTAGAACTTTAAAAAAAATTTTAGAATCTTTTCAATGTATTTTCCAAGGGTGAATTTTTGTAAACAAATAAATGTCATTAGAGGTAAGTCTGGTAAATTCGGTAACAGTGAAGTTGAGTAATACTTCTGGAGAATCCCACACATGTACACCAAAACAAAAGCCACAGATGCAGCCGTAAATGAACAAGACTGCCTTTCTTGGTTGTTCCAAACCTGTGCAATTCCACAGCGTTTCCAACAGATACTAGCAAGAGTTAGTGCAGAGGCTCCCAAGTCATCACTCTGAAGACAATTTTCACTTTGACACAAAATTTTGTTTTTGGGATTGAGGGGGGACATGAGACGAAGGAAGTCCTCTTATTTTATGATCATACGGAAGAAAACAGACTGACAAATTCGAAAGGTAGTTTTTCGGATCAAACCCCGAAAGAGTTAAGAAATACCCCCCAATTCTCCGAGCTAAAGAAAATAAAAATCAGCTAATGATAACAGAATTGAAGACTTTTTCCAGCAACTGGCCCAAGGATTACCTTGCTTGGGGAAAGGCCAAAAGCAAAAGGCTGAGGTTCTCAGTGCGGGCAACTCACCAGGGGATGAGAACCATTATTGGGGCACATGAGAGAACACCTAAGCGGCACCCCAAACCTCCATTAGGACTCCCTCGGCTCGAGGTGAAGCCGTGGGCCCTCGGAGGCGGGGCCAGCTCCCCGGCTTACAGAGGGGGCGGAGTCAAGCCTTGATAAGAGATGCTAGAAGCCTCAAAGAGGTGGGGTTGGGGTGTGCACGGCCCAGGGGTAGGGAACTGAGAATCTGGGCCCTAACACGGAGAAGAGCTGGGGGGCGGCTTCAGGGCTAGGAGCAGGCTTTACCAGAAAGGCCCACCCCTCCCGCCCATTAACCTGAGATTCTCTTTCGCCTCGGCTCCGTTCCGGTCGTTGCTGAGAATGCCGCCGCAGCCTTTGGGCCGCTCGGCCGTGCCCAGTCTCAGTGGATCTGGTCTGCAAAACTTGGACTCAACCTCATCCAGAAGCTTGTCCAAGTCTTTCGCCATCTTGAGCGGCTACGTCTTTCCCCTCTCACATCGTGCAGCGCAGAGTGGTTTCCAGGGGCAACGCGAGGACCCGCAGCGGGCACTCTCAGCCACGCCCACCCACCCCCGCGCATGCGCGCGCCGCCCCGGAATAGCCCCGGAGTCTGTGAAGCTTTGGCGTTGACACGGTCGCGCAGAAGTAAGCTGTGGGTCCGCGCGGCCTGGCGCTCGTTCTCTGATCCGCGGGGAGGGCGGGCGGAGCTGTTCCTTCCTGCGCGACCTTCCTTGCGACGCTCTGCTATGACTCGCTCCGTGTGGCCTGGCACGTTTCGGTCCTATCTCCCCCTCCTGGGTCCGGGTTGACACTACAATCACAAGACTCCCAAGCTCTTTTGTTTTCTCCTTTTCCCGGCCCATTGGGGTCCGTGCAGTACTCCAGCCGTTCATGAAATCTTTAAATTACCTGTGGAAAAGTCGAGGAGAACCCTCTAAAACGAAAACAAGTATTGAGAACAAATACTTTTAAGCAAAAGTCTGGCTTCCCGTAGTCGGCAGGATTCGAACCTGCGCGGGGAGACCCCAATGGATTTCTAGTCCATCGCCTTAACCACTCGGCCACGACTACTGCTGATGTTAATTTCAGCAGTGAAATCTATATGGAATCTATGCACAAGTGGCTGCTACAGTAACGTTGAGATCGGGTGAAAACACTGCAAAGCTGTTCTGTGAGAATGTCATGGCTCTAATAATTTTAGCTTTTTGGAAGAACTCGCAGCATATCCCCCTCAAACTTTTTCCCTTCATCAGAAACACAGTTCTAGTAAATCTCTATAAAGTTAGAGTCAGAAAATAGGAGAGAGGGAGGAGAGCCCTGGGTCCACCCTGCAGAATGTTGGTGCCATTTGTTGGGAGGAACCTGGAATCTCTTCTCTCACCAAGGCAGCCTCCGGTGGTTTCCAGGGCAACGCGATGCCTCGCAATACTCGCCCTCAGCCAACCAGCCTTTGGGCTTCCTTTCATGGATCCCAGCTTCATTTCCCAATCTTGTTCTTAGACAAACAGCTCCCAGAACTCTTTCTTCTTCCACTACGCGCTAAAAAGCTGTTACTTACCGATTTAAATTCGTTATGCCGGGTAAGACTGTTCCACCCTACCTTAAAAGATGACTTTGAAAAGTGTAATGCTCGATATAAATGTAAGGTATTGTCGTTTAATGGTATTCGTAGAAATACTATGCACGGTGTAAACTGGACTTTGAGTCTTGCTAAAGGGAGGGTAGTAACGAGATTGGTACCCTTGGGAAATGGAAATAGCTTGGCCCAGACGATTTAGTAGCTTCATTGAAATAAATGTCCAAGAAAAGCAACCTGCAGTGGTGAGCTGGAGCAAAGGGTGCCTACTCATTAGCACCCATCTTTAAATTGTCACCAGTTTTGGGCGCCAGTTGTTAGATGCAATCATTATTAAAAATTAAATTATATAAACTTATAATTAACTAGGTTAAAACCGAAAATAATACTGAAAATCATCATGGTCTAGTTAGTTCATTACAGTTACTATAATTTATGCTGTTGAGGTTATTTACATTTATTGTACCTGAAATACTGTACAATGCCTTGCTACTGTGAATCTCTTCGTAACTTCCTATTTAGTGATGTACTTAGTTACTTGAAATCAGCCTTCACTGATGTACTTACACCAGGAAAATTGCAAATGCTACAGAGTACGGACCCCCCACCCCTGCCAAGAGTTGATTGTGAAACACTGACCTGCACACCACTAATGTTACCACCAGACCACCTTGAATATTCCCAGCAAGCTAAAACTCTCCTTACCTGCAGAGCTGCCCTGGTTATTCTTCCTGCAGCTTTGTTCTAGTGACTAGAATTCTGGCATATTGTGTGACTTCCCACTCAATTTTTCAAGTCCCCCCCTCCCAAGTTGCTTTGTAGGGTGATTTTTTTGGATTTGTCCTTTAGCTGAAAACACGAATAAGCCACTTGATATTGAAGTTGCCCTTGCAACATGGTTCCAGGGGGAATAATGCATAGTTTCCATCCTGTTTAACAGGCTTAAGTTAATGACTTGATTTTTCTTAGAAAAAAAATGAAATCTGAGGTGGTATATATCAGTATAATTGACATATACCTCTGTATTTTTGACGGCTTCTGGTCGGGATGGTGGAGAAGGTAAATGAGGTACTCACATCCTCCCTTGACAACATCAAAGTTACAACTAAACTATGGAGCAACCACCACTGGCAACTGCCTGAAGTCTAGTTGAACGGAATTCCTATAAATAAGGATAGAAAAGCCATGTCGAGACTGGTAGGAGGGTGGAGGTGCGAAATGAGCTGGTCTCACACCCACATGCGGTGGTTAAAAATTCCGAGGACCATCTCATCTCTGGAGGTTCCCCCTGAGGAGCTAGGGGTTTCAGCCCCACCTGAGGCTCCCCGGCCCAGGGTTCTAGTCCTGGGGAGTCATAACTTCCGGCTGTGAAAAACAGTGGAGATTAAGGCTGTGAGACAGAGGGCTTCTGGAGTTCCAGAAATTCTTCTTAAAGGACTGTGAATGGACTTACTTGCTGACAAACTCACTTGCTCTGACTTCCAGTGCTGGGTCAGCAGCTTGAAAAGCATCAGGGACGTACGGGGAGGAACTGAATTTTCTGGCTCCCGGTGGAGGGCTGGAGGGGCAGCTTTCTCCCACACTGAAGTGCTGGCAGAAGCCGTTGTCCCTTTGCTGAGTTCTCCCCTATAGGCACAGGTAGGGGCCATATCTGAGTCTCCATCAACTTGACTACCACTGTTAACGCCACCCTGGTGATTCTCTGAGACCTCACTCAACCAACTTTCAGGCTCACCCAAGCTGCTTCCAGTGGCTATTCCATACACATAGCCTCTCTTGGCCCATGCTGTGGACTTTCCTAAAATTTGTCAAAGGTTCACAAACACCAAACGATCAGCATCTGGCCTCAGTGTGCTCCATACCTCTTGCTAAATGATCCTAAGCCAGCCACTAGAGGCAGCCAGCCTTGGTTTGCAACTTGGCCTCTCCCAGGCACTTCCAAGCCCAGCCCAAGTGGCAACCATCTGCATATCACTGGTTATCTCATGCTGGCAGCCCCAGGCAGGGCATAGGCAGCAGCCGAGCTTGGCCTGCATTTCCTAGGAGGCTCTGCAGCTAGCACACCCAGTATAAAGCTTCATACCACACCATACCATAGCATCTCCCAGCCACCACCATGAGCGACACACTCAAGGGGCAGATTTGGTATGCACCAGAGCCCCACATAAGTAAGTTCTGCCCCATGAGGTTAGCCAGGGCACAGCAGCTCCACTGCTATGTTGTGGATGGTCCTTGCAATCAGTTGACCTGAGGGTCAATCCCTCCCATTTGATGTGCCTACAGTGATTAAGGCTCAACTACAACCGGAGGGTGCATGTAACCTGGGAGACTATGTCACTGGGCTCCACAAGACATCTACATAAGGCCACTCTGCCCAAACTGGGAGATGTAGGAGCTCTAGTTAATACATAGAAATAAACACAGGGAGTCAGACAAAAATAAAGGCAAAAAAATATGTCCCAAGTGAAAGAACAGGATAAAACTCCAGAGAAAGAACTGAACAAAATGGAGACAAACAATTTACCAGATGTAGAGTTCAGAACACTGGTTATAAGGATGCTCAGTGAATCTCAAAGAATAGATTAACTCAGTAAGAACTAAAATATAGGAAAGATAGAAATGGAGATATAAAACAGAAAAAAGAACCAGTCAGAATGAGGAATACAATAACTGAAATGAAGAATACATTAGAGGGAATCAGTAGATGAAACAGAGGATCATAGAGGAAATTGGGAAGATAAGGTAGTGGTAGATCCCGTCAGATCAGCTGACAGTCTGATGGGAACTCCTTTGTAGGTTACTGTCTCCTTGTCTCTTGCTGCTTCTAAGATTCTCTCTTTCATTTTAATCTTGACTAATGTAATGATGATGTGCCTTGGTGTGTTTCTTCTTGGGTCCAACTTGTTTGGGACTCTCTGAACTTCCTGGACTTCCTGGAAGTCTATTTCCTTTGACAGATTGGGGAAGTTCTCCTTTAGTATTTGTTCAAATAAGTTTTCCACTTGTTGCTCTTCCTCTTCCCCTTCTGGCACCCCTATAATTCTGATGTTGGAATGTGTAAAGATGTCCTGGAGGTTCCTAAGCCTCTCCTCATTTTTTTGAATTTTCATTTCTTTGTTCTTTTCTGTTTGGTTGTTTCTTTCTTCTTTCTGGTCCACTCGATTGATTCGAGTCCCAATTTTCTTTCCATCACTGTTGGTTACCTGTGCATTTTCCTTCATTTCACTTAGTGTAGCCTTTGTTTTTTCATCTAATTTGTGACCAAATTCAACCAATTCTGTGAGCATACTGATCATCAGTGCTTTGAACTGTACATCTGATAGGTTGGCTATCTGTTCATTGCTTAGTTGTATTTGCTGTGGAGCTTTGATCTGTTCTTCCATTTGGGCCGTTGTTGTTTTGTCTTGTCTCGCCTGTTCTGTATGAGGTGCGGAGCCTTAGGTGTTCACCAGGACCTGCCAACCCAGTTGCTGTGTCGTGATGCTGTATGTGGGGGCGGGGCCCCAGAGGGAACAATGGCTCTTGCTCCACTCTCTGTTGGATTTCAGTCCCTTGCATGCTTCCCCAAAGCAAACTGGGCCTTTTTGGTGCTGATTCCCATGTGGGTGGGCTTGTGTATATTCTAGGACCCTGTGGGTCTCTCCAAGGAACTCTCCTGTGAGGCTGGGAGTCTCTCCCTGAGCCTCAACCCCCATTTGTGTTTTCAGTCAGTGTTTTGAGGCTTTATTTCTACATGCTGGGACCCTGGGTTGTGTGGTCTGTCTCTCTCCCTAGTTTCACCTGGTTCATCTGTGTGTGAGTGTGGGACCTCCTGGTCAGCCAACCTCCTTTGCACAGTGCCTCGCTTCACAATTGCCGCCTCGCTGGGTCTGTCTGATGCCACCCCGCGCCCGGGATCTGCCAGCCGCCACTGGCACACCCAAGGTCTGCCCACTGCTGTCTTGCATGCTCGGGGTGCCTTGGGTGCCTGGTGCCACTGCTTTTTGTGCCGGGACCCCTCTCCACTTGGCTCCCTACTCCGCC